TCAGTCCCCGCTGGAGGGAACGTAAACTTGAACTACCACTTGGGAACACAGCTTGGCAACCCCCCGCCCTACAGATGAAGATGAGCGTAACTAACGTCCCAGTAGCTCCCTTCCTACTTACACACCACAGAGAAATGCACGCGCGTGTGGGCCAGGGACACAGACAGGGACGTGCATATACAGGGAGACTCCTGGGCTACTGTGAATTATAAAACTGAAAACACACCCCGTATCCATCATCAGTACAACAGAGTGATCAACCGTGGAACATTCACACAATAGACTACTACACGGCGATAAAAGTAAATGAACTACAGGACACAAAACCACGTAGGTAACTATTAAAAACAAGGGGTGCCTGGCTCGCTCAGTGGGTAGAGCATGTAACTCTTGCTATCTGGGTCATGAGTTCGAGCCCCATGCGTGGCGTGGAATTTACTTAAAAACTATTGGGGGGCGCCTGGGTGGCGCAGTCGGTTAAGCGTCCGACTTCAGCCAGGTCACGATCTCGCGGTCCGTGAGTTCGAGCCCCGCGTCGGGCTCTGGGCTGATGGCTCAGAACCTGGAGCCTGTTTCCGATTCTGTGTCTCCCTCTCTCTCTCTGCCCCTCCCCCGTTCATGCTCTGTCTCTCTCTGTCCCAAAAATAAATAAACGTTGAAAAAAAAAATTAAAAAAAAAAAAAAAACTATTGAAAACAAAATTGAGGGGCGCCTGGCTGGCTTAGTCGGTTGGGCGTCCGACTTCGGCTCAGGTCATGATCTCATGGTTTGTGAGTTCGAGCCCCACGTCCAGGGCTCTCTGCTCTCGGCGTAGATAGAACCCGCTTCAGATCCTCTCTCCCCCTCTCTCTTTGCCCCTCCCCCGCTCACATTCTCCCTCTCTCTCGAAAATAAACAAATATATTTTAAAAATAAATGTTTAAAAAAAACAACAAAATAAAATCTTAAAAAAACACACAAATGAGTGAAAGAAGCCTAACACACACGTGTGTGCACACACTGACACACACAATTCTGTAGGACTCTTTATTTAGAGTTCAAAAACAGACAAAACTAGTATATTTAGGGATGCATCCTTAGGTAATGAAAATGTTTAAAAAAAAACAAGCAAGGAAGATGATTAACATAAAAGTCAGGACAGAGGTTCACTTCAGGGAAGGGGTGTGAGGAGAGGCCATGTGGGGGGCGCTGAGCTTTCCTGAGCTGGGTGGTAGTTACATGGGCATTTGCTTTATAATCTTTTTTTAAGTTTATTTATTAAGTTTATTTATTTTGACAGAGAGAGACAGAGAGAAAATGCAAGCAGGGAGGAGCAGAGTGAGAGAGAGAGAGAGAGAGAGAGAGAGGATCCCAAGCAGGTTCCGCACAGACAGTGCAGGGCTCTAACTCACAAACCATGAGATCATGACCTGAGCCGAAATCAAGAGTCGGACGCTTAACCGACTGAGCCCCCAGATGCCCGGCTTTGTAATAATTTAAGCTGTACCCTCACCGTGTATGTACTTTTCTATGCGTGTGTTATTTTCACAATTCAGAACAACAGCTTCACCAAAATCGCTCCACGAAGCAGAGCTCTCGGAGTTGATTTTACCAAAAGGTGAGACTCGAACAGTTTAGACTTCTCTCTCCTTCCTCTTTCATCTGCAAATGGAGTTTCCATTCCTTCGTCCTCCTACATCCCAGGGGCGGGGATGCACACATGTGCCCGCTCCCACTGCCAGGCCCTGATCCTACTCTGGGCAAGACGCCCCTTCAATCTGCCCCCTTTGTCCGGTCTGACCTCCGAAGCACTCCCCTTGGGCTTCCAGAATATCCAAAGACCAGGAGCAGGATTGTACTTCCATTCCTCCCGCAGAGCCCGGCTGCAGAAGGAGTGTTTTCCCCATTTACCCAACACCGTGCCTTTCCACCGACTGCAGACAGACAGTCAGCCAGCGCCAGCCGGGAGATGAGAGGCTGGATGTCACGCCGGGAGACGGTGCTCTGCTCCGTGGGCCCAGGGCCCGGACCCATCTGTGACAACTGCCACGCCACAGCACCCTGCAGCCTTGGACTGCCTGCTGTGCGGAACCTCTCACTCCTGCTAATCCTATTTAACAGGAATTCTGGGACACAGCCACAGTTCTGCCTAGAAGTTCCCTTGGAAGAGCTATTGTTTTCAGCTCCAGTTAGGAAAAACTGATGCTTCCAGGGCAGATAGCAATGATTCAAAGCAACTTACGGGGCTGATTAGAAAGAGTCCCAGCCCAGGAGCCAGAAGGCCTGAGCTCCTGCCTACGTTTCCCTAGCACTTTCCACAGGCCTCACATCCTGCCCAGCTCACAGGGACAAATGTACGGAATGTATACGGGGTGGTCTGAAAACCATAATTGCTATATAAATATAGGGGATTATTATTATTAATACGAAGGGCCAGTTTTTGCTACTAAACATACCATGGTTTTAAAAAAGAGATCACTCTCAAAAAA